TTTTTTGCCACAGCGCGACTAAACTCGTTTTTATAATTAAAATCAACCAACCAACAAATTTTTGTTACCAAGAATTACGTAGCTTTGAGTTCTCTACCACACCTGGAGATACGTAGGAGCAAGATCCAACCTCTCGTCAAATACCCTAATAAATACATTTTTTAGTTCTTTTCTTTTCATGTAAATATTTTTAATAATTACCATAATAATTTAGAAGAAACCAAACATTTCAAGCTACAATTTCTTTCAAACTAATTAAACGGTTCTGTTGGTTACAAGGGATGTTGTTGGGTGATAATACATTTCTCGCGCATAATCGACCCCGCAACCTAAATTTAGTTGCAACAACCTTATTTTTGTTTCTAAAGGGTTTTATCGACATTTATTTTAAAAAATAAACTTTGATGGAGACTTTATTGTTATTCGGGCATTTTTTCACTCTACTTCTTCACACCGCAACAATAGGGCACATTTTAAATGCTTTACGACAACCACTTAAAAATCAGAGAAAGGCAACCACAATACTATCATAGTAAACAAGCACTTGTAGAGCGGGGTCGCGCAGTGGTTGAAAGAGGTACATATCCTTTTATCTAGGCCAACTGGAAGAATTGACTAATTATGAGGTTCACTGACCACAATGCCAACAAGCTTTATTCCTGCTTCAGTATTCATAATGGATGGGGTATCAACTACCTCAACATCCACCTACTCGTGCTTAAACGTGTAGGTTGACTCCACTAGTGCCACGCCTCTCTGTGTCAGGTGGTCGACTTTAGAATGATCGCCAAGTATGATCTAAGACATTATATCTGACCTACCACGAAGCTCCATGTGGTCCCCCACTTCAACGTCTTTGAGCTTACAATTATAGGTTTTTAAAAAATGTTGTATGAAATCATCAACGTGTTCTATCATCTACTTGTTATATTGTATTTCCTCGTCAGTCAAGATGAGAGGGCATAAGAATCTAAATAAGATTTTCCTTTTCACCATCATCTTATAAAAGGGCTTCTAAAGTGTTGAATGAATAAGCTCCGTCAAAAGGGTCTTCCCATATGTCCTTTCTGAATGAGAATCTTCAGATAAAGATATAACTTCTTGGCCCAGACGATTGTGAGCAAGGGGAGGGAGATGAGAATCATGGGATGTTCCCATTCCCGTAACAGAAGAAGTATCGATATCTGATTAACTCACTAGGTTAGTAGTAATATCACTCATTCTGACTAGAAAACAAGAAATGCTAAAGATAAAAGGCTGACTTAAGGATGGTATCTGGTTATGTAAGACTTGTGAAGCTGAGTAAATGAAGAGAGGTTGAGACTTTTATAAAGGAATTATAATCAGTCTGATTTATGCTTTCGGGAAATTAAATACAAATTCGTTTTTCTAATAAACAAAATATGAATGAACTCGAATGCTAAGGATTATGAAAAGTTTGTCAACACTTAACCTCCCCCTTATGTATAGACAAAAATTATTGAATGATTTAGATTTTTTATGGAAAGAAATATGGAATCAACGACTAGATTTCTCATTGTAAATACATACAAACTCGAGTGCACTCAAGTGCGATATAAGTTATTTCATACCCTAACTTATCGCGTCAGTCCACGTGTCAGAAGAAAGGAGTGATACATTTCAGTGATAGTAACACATTAAATGTGCTTGTTCCCCGTTACTTTTTGAATTGACTTCAAGCATTTCTCTTCTAGTTCATATCGTACAACATCCTTGGAGGCCGACCAAAATTACTAAAGTCTTTCCCGATTCTCCTAGTGTCTGACAAAGTCTTGGGGGCAACTGTTTTGGACTGGCCAAAAGGCCCAGAGCGCTGAGGCCAAACTTATCTTAAATTCACTCCTCTTGACCCAAGGTATAAAAGTCTGTTCATACAGAAATACACTCATCTTAAATCTTGATCTAACTTCGACATTCAAGTGCTAATCTCGCAGGTCCACTCCATGTCGTCGTATCAAATATTAGCACCACTGGTTTAAGATCTCTAGTTCATCAATTACATCTTATTCCAATTCCAAGATGGAACAATACTAATACATATAAATTAAATTTATAAAATTTTGAATTTTTTTCTTAAATTTTTTTAATTGATAAATAACAATAACTTATTCATATTGATACATATATATATATATATATATATATATATATATATATATATATATATATATATATATATATATATATATATATATATATATATATATATATATATATATATATATATATATATATATATATATATATATATATATATATATATATATATATATATATATATATATGACAAAAACAACATCTGATGGATGAAATTAAAAATTATTAATTGAATAATTATTTAATTGAAAATATAGTTTTCACATTCCCATTCCACTCTCTTTTCCTTTCACTTTCCAATGCTCTCCCTTTCTTTTGAAAATCAATCATGCACTTTTTTTCTCATTCCTACATCTTCTTTCTCCATCTCATCGCCATTGCAATTGAAACCAAACGACTAGGAGTATGCAAATTGGAAAGATGAGTCCGTAATGACCGGTCAGAAAATTGAAGCGACCCTCATCATCATTTGTAGTCTCCATAGTGGTTTTCCCTTTCCGCCCTTTGTTGTTTGTTGTTGTCGTACATGCTTTCACTTTTTTCCCTCTTATTGTTTGTCGTCGTCATTTTTTTACATTTTTCCTTTTTAATCAACTATCAACCCTTCAAAATTCAATTGCATTAACTTTCATATTTGCCCTTTCAATCATTTTTAATTACACTACTAAAAGGGCATTTATGTAATCAATTAATGTTACCATTTATTCATTCTCCTATCCAATTACAACATACTACATGTTATGTTTTATCATTTCATACACCACCCTTGAGTGACACGTGGCATATTACATTCCATCTTTTTTCTCTCTCTTTTTCAAACTTTGAAATTTAAATTATTATTATTATTATTCTTTTTTTTAAAAAAATTCAATCTTATCTCAATACTACCATCTTCTCTCTCTGTCTCTCAACCTAAAACCTAAACACTCTCTCTCAGAATGTCTCTAAACCTAAAACCTAAACCCTCTATCTCAGAATGTCTCTCTCACCCTAGCTCCGCCCCTCACTCTCACAATCTCAATCTCAATCAACAAGAAAAATCTCTCTTTTAAACCATTTTTCTTCCATCAATCATCTTCCTTTTCTGTAGCACATCATATTCCTTTGTCTCAACCTTGCAGGTCCTGCTGATGAGGATGCATGTTGCTTTAGAGTTCAACTTTTTCAGGTTTTATATTGCTTTCCGTTAGCTATTTGTTTCTTATGATATTATTCTTCACATTCTTCTCATTATCATCTGCGTGGTTATGATTCAGGTTATGTATATGGTTATTCATCTTATCTTCTAGGACTTGAATCTCAGGTATATCTGTTTCATTTGTATCGGTATTCTGTTGTTTGTTGTTTCCTTCACTAATACGTTGATTATGTTTTTTTTCAAATTTAGATTGGACGTTCCATTCGTATTACCAACACTCAGGTTAGTTTCTTCTCCCTCCGTCTCCTTTCTGATCTCAGAGTTTTTCTTCTTCTCGTCAAGGATTTTCTACTGGGTTTTTGAGGTTTTTATGATTTTAAGAATGACTGCTACTACTGCTGGTGTTTCATGGTGGTAATGAATCTGGTGTTTTGAGGTTTTTTTTATCTTATGTTTTTCTTCCAAAATTGAATCTCATTTATATTTATGCATTTTAATTTTGATTGTTTTTTTTTATATAAATATTGAATATTTGGTTTTTATTTGTGTTTTTGTATCATCCATATCCTTTTCAAGATGGAAGAGATTGTTTTTAGCGTTTCTCATCTCTACGGTTTGACAAAAACAATGCCTCAACTATTAGAACAACAGATTCTAGAAGGAAAAAAACTATAGTCGGACTTTAACATTTCTCCTATTTGGGCGTGTAAATATCAATGTGCAGGTACCACTTTGAAGTTATAAGGAATTATTTTCCGGCTTTTGAAGATTGATGCATTATGCAGCTGAAAGTTTTTTGAACTATCTGATATTTCCTAACATTGTAGTTCCAAATTGTTCTTATGATAATAATTCCCTATGTTATTTGTCTTTTGATGTCATAGGCTGATGGGATCATCAAGTTCAATTCAGTGACCATGTTGTACTTCTAGAATCACTCAAATAGTTCGGTTCCTGGAAGACTAATATTCCACTTAATTGGACACCAAATGGATGGGTATGCGACTTCCATTTCAACACTGGAGATCACCTTGAATTCAAGATCATCATTGTCAACCAAAATGGCATTCTACTTTGGGAGTCTGGAGACAACCGAGTCTTGAACTTGCCTGATGCTGGCAATTTTCAGACGGTTGCCACATGGAACACAACACACCATACTATGGAGCTACTGCCTTTGGATGAACAAAACAACACCACGACTATGATAGCAAGAATGTAGGAGATAATAGTCAGACAAATAATGGCATGGAAGTGGCCACTACTTCTTCATCTTCATTTGAAGTTGGGTCAAGTCCTTTTGTAGGAGAGTGGCAAGGCAAATCTATTTCTTTCATGCAATCCAATGAGCATCATAGCAATGAAGCCCAAAGGACTTAGGACACATTAGTTCTTCAAGCCATGCCTCTCAAGTTTGTTAAAGGGGATCAAAGTGCAAGGAATTTGTGGAGAAAGACCCTCTTATTTAACTGCAATGTTGGAAAATATATGTCACTTTTCCATATTATGTCATTAAGAATCATCATTGTCTTTCTTCTATGCATTCTTTACTGCCATGCTTTATCGTCTTCACTAATCCTTGCATATATAATCAATGTCCAGGGCTTGATTTAGTTATTTCAACAGCCTAGCTCAATGATTTGGCAGGACACTGAATAAAGTTGATCATTCTATATGTTGCACCCATTTTTCCAGGAGATGATTTATTTGCTTGTGTATGTCGATGACATTATGATCACTAGCAATGGACCTCCAAAAATGGATTCACGAACAACTTGAGGTATGTGATTAATTCACCAAACAAACACCAATGAACTTTCATGTTCTGACATGTTCTGATATTGTATCTGTTATACAGATTCAAAGGAAGTTGCAGATTCAAATTGGAAACCAAGGGAAACATCTTCAGATGATGTTTGAGAAACATAAACATATAGGTGGCATCAAGGGCTCGCCCCCTTCTAACGCGCCTTCTACTGCACTCTTGGACACAACGATACCCTCTCATGTAGACAAGTTACAAACGCCAAGTGATGAATGTGGCGAATTTAAATGCAACACCAAAGAAAGTTTCCAGAATGCAAGCAGAAAAGAAATGGTACATGAAATTGATGTTATTGATGAACATGAGAGTGTAGATGATCAGTTTTCTGCAGTACTTCCGATAAAACGGGCGAAGATTCAATGATAGCATCTAGGGAATTATGCTTGAATTTTTGCATCTGCTTATCATAACGATATACTCAACTTTAACAGTAGCTAACAATGCTTAGTAATGCTTATTTTGTTTCATTAATTACCTTGTGTTTCATTGTTTACCTTTTGTTTCATTGTTTTCACACCTGCATTATTTTGTTTAAAGGAGGAGCATGTGGTTTCATTGCTTAATAATGCTTAGTAACAATGAATTATTCGTAATTGTGTTGTCTTTTCTTATAATTGAACTATCGTTGTTTTACATGTATGTTTTGATAATGATATGCTACGATTTTTCACCTGCTATGATATCGTTGTTTTACTGCTACAAACAGTTGACATAAGAGGATTCTGCCTTTGGTACCATTACCGAATACCTATGGTTGAGTACCTAGCTGATGATTTCATTCCAAAACATGTATTTTATTGCAATAAAAAAGTTACCAAATAATTGTTTTTTCTCAGTTATTTCAGTTTTGGTTACTTAGAAATTAGATTGTAACTAGAGAGTAGTTTCAATTTTTACTCAATCACCTGAACTCTAATAGAATGTTCGAATGTTAATAGATTTCCAGGAATGATGATGCACTGATTAAGAAATGTTCAGTTAATTAAATGTTGTACCATTCAATAAATATTGTCTAGCATATTATAATGTTCTTAAGCTCGTAACTTTTTAGGTGAAACTTGCATCGTTCTACAAGTTATAATCTTATACTGTCAAAGACAAACAAATTCAATTGCAGATGATACTTTGCTCACTATATCATATTTATACGTTCAATTTGGTCTGAAGATATTGTATACTTAATTGTACAAAATACAAATTTATTTTCATCATGACTATTTGCTTTTGTTAATGTTGAAAATAGAGCTATGACTTATTCAACCAAAGCCTGTTAATATGAGTAAATTATGGCACACACTAGCTGTTTTAGAGACATATTTGATGGTTATGCTAAAAAGCAAGTGTACTTTCAAATATTACATTTTATATCTTTAAAGGAAAGTCATCACGACTCACTTGATGTTTCAAAACTCCTTGGCTATAGTTGTTGTTCTTGTCCCAGCTCCACTCATAGAGTTCAGATATTTAATTTGGATGTGCTTTCCATTTTATTTGTTATACATATCATTAAATGAAGGTTGTTATGGCAATTAGGGGTGTACGCGGGTTGTGTTGGACCGGGTTCGCCTTAACCCGTTACCCAACCCGTTCAACTTTCAATGGGTTGGGTTTATCATCAAACCCGTAATTCTATTTTAAAAACCGACCCGAATCAACCCGGATATTTACGGGTTGGGTAGGGTTGGGTCCACGGGTTGTGTATATAATAATTATTATTTTCAATTAAAAAAATCTATAACACAATTCAATATAATTTTGCATATTTCAAACAATTAAATTATTTACGTAGTGGAGACAAATCTTACATATAAAATAGAATAATTAAAAATATAACAATTAAAATTTTGAAATGTATTTTCTTTGTCATAAAAAATATTAAGATACATATACACTATTAATTATTTATATATTTTCATTAATATACCTTAATTTATAAAAATTTATTAGTTATCAAATGTTATCCATTACAAATATATATCAACATATGTAAAACAAATATATAATAATATACAGTATATATTAGTTGTTTTGATACTCAAATGTTACCTTTTCTAGCACATGCTTAAAAGTAGGTCCGTAAACTATCATATATATTAACACTTAATAATATATAAAATTCCATAAAATATCATTTCCATAAAATTCATAAATTCTAAATAATTCAAAAGCAAATAAACATCACTTAGTCTTAAAATGACATAGATGTATTGGTCCAATATTGGTCTAATAGCACCAAAATCTAACAGCAACTATAAAAGATTCCAGCACCAGCAGTGAAAGGTTTAGCAACAACATAAAATCCAGCAACAGTAGCTGTAAAAGATTCCAGCAACAACAATGAAACGTTTAGCAACAACATAAAATCCAGCAACAACAGTTAAAAGTTTAAGCAACAATAGTCAAAAGAAGAAGAAAAAAAACAACACTAGAAAATACCTTAAAATCTAGTAGTAACAGTTGTATTGAGTTCAACCGCAGTAATGCCAACATCAATAGAAACTAATCCAGCTAACTCTATATATGTAAACACAAACAACTAATAAAAATAATGTAATGTAATACTAAAATAAAATAGATTTTAAAATTCAAACATATAATTCATACCTGACTCAACCTTTTCCAATTCAACCAACTCTTTTTCTAAATCAATGACCTTAGGAGATTTGATCCAATTTTGAGTACAAATCAAAGCTTCAACGGTAGAGGGATTCAAGGAACTACGAAATGAATCAAGGACACGACCTCCTGTACTAAAAGCGGATTCAGAAGATACAGTGGATACAGGGATAGCCAATATATCTCTAGCTATGCGGGAAAGCACATGATATTTATTTGTTTTTCCTTTCCACCAAGTGAGAATATTAAATGTAGGAGAATCATCTTCAACACCATCCTCCAAATACTTTCCAACTCATTTTTTTGCACTTCACATTGTTTTTTCTTCATATTCATTCTAAACAAATTGTCCCAATCTTCATCATCTTCACCATTTTCAATTCTAAAATGAGAGACAATGTTTGAAGATGAGGCATTGGAACCACCATCATGAGAAACAGGATACAAAAATAAATAGTGCTCAAACAATTTAGCAATGAGAGATTTCAATTTCTTTAACATATCCTCTGACAATTTTTCACCATACATCCGAGTAAAACAAAATTCAATATAGTCAAGCTTATAACGAGGATCAAGATAAATAGCAACAAAGAGAAGATAATTTATTGTATTGCTTTCCCAATACTTGTTGTACTTCAATTGCATATTTGCTGTCATGGTTTTCAAAATTGGATCACTAACAATGTGCCTCCATTTATTCAATGTTTTTTTAATATCCATCAACTGTTTGAAAAAAGAGTTAGCAGTAACATGCAATGACCCAGAAAAAGAAAGTGTGGCATCATAAAAAGTTTTCAAAAACTTCACAAAAATACGAGCTCGTTCCCAATCAGCTCGATTAGGACATCCTTTCGACTCAATACGGAGATTAGTTAAAAATGCAACATCAGCATGTTCTAAGCGGTAAAATGCATGTTCATACTTTTCAGCGATGTTCAACATTAAATAAGTAGAGTTCCATCTGGTTTCTACATCTAGTGTTACCAATGCTTTAGAACATACACCAACAGTTTCTACACACTTCTTGAAAGTAGCCAACCTACTAGGAGAAGCCTTGACAAACTTACATGCAGCCCTAATTCTTTTAACAGATTCATCAATATCCTTTATTCCTTCTTTGACAATCAAGTTTAATATGTGAGCACTACATCTCATATGCAAGTACTCCCCATTAAACAAAGTACGACCATTCCAAAAACTCATGCCTCGATTTAAATAATCAATTGCCAAATTGTTAGCACTTGCATTATCAACAGTCACACAACATATAGACTTGATACCCCATTCCTTCATGCAATTCTCTAATGTTATCCCTATAGTTTCACCTTTATGGTCAGCAATTATACCAAAGCTTAATATACTCTTCTTTAAATTCCACTCGTCATCAATATAGTGAGCTGTAACACACATATAATTCATATTCTGAATCGATGTCCAAGTATCAGTGGTAAGAGACACCATTTGTTTATTAGCAGACAACATAAATTTCAATTTTTCTTTCTCATCGAAGTACAAGCATAAACAATCTCTGGCAACAGTGACACGAGATGGAATTTTGAATCTTGGTTGAGCCTCTTTCATGAACATATTAAATCCTTCATTTTCAACATATTTAAAAGGGAGCTCATCAATGATTATCATCTTTGCAAGTGTTAATCTAGTCCTCTCTTGATTAAAATCAACAAGTTTCAAGCTAACACTATTAGGATCATCCTCACTTTCTTTTCCAATAGCTATAGTTTTTTGTTTCTTATCAACTACCCTATTTGGATTTTTCAGGCACACTTTCAAATGTTTATGCATGTTAGTAGTGCCATGACTACCACTATTTGCAGCATATTGTTTCCCACAATACTTACATATAGCCTTATCATTAACCCTTTTAAAATCTTTCCAAACTGTAGAAGGTTTTCTAGAGGGTTTTCTTTTGCTTACCTCTATTAGTGCACTTGGTGGCAATGATGACAACCATTCTCCTTGTATTTGTTGAACTTCTTGCTCTTGTTCAAGTGGATGAGCAACATCTTCACTGACAATTTGTGATTGTTCCACTTCCATTTTCTATAAAAAAACAATTTTTAATATAAATTATTATTAGAACAACATTAAACAAAATATATTTAAATTAATAATATGAAACAGAACAGGACTTTGCATCAAAATATATTTTCATCATATGAAACAAAATAGTACTTTGCATCATATGAAACAAAATAGTACATTACATTGAACCTATCATCATATTTTGCATTGATATAAAACTATTGAAGTACATACTGTAAAAACAATATATTGCATTGAAATAAATATATTGTAGAACTATAAAAAGTATAAAACCTTATTCAATATGGAGACGAAACTATGAGAGAGTCAAAGTATAGACTGTGGATTTTCGAAAGCAAAATGGAATTGGAATGTGAGAGAGTAAAATGAAAAAAAAAATCGTGAGAGAAAGAGGAGTGGTGACGTTTGAGATTTGCCGTAGTAAAAAAATAGGGTTAGGTTAAGTGGTATTGTCTTTAGTTTAGTAAGTTTCTAATATATACTTAATTATTATTAGTTAATAAAGATTCATTAAAAAAATAAAAAGGCAGTAAAGTATAAACTAGAAGTGCATAAGTCAAGCAAGCATGATTAATATTAATAATAATGTTTAATTATAATAATAATAATAATTTAATGTGTGATTGGAAACTGGAAGGAAAATGCAAAAGATCTTTGTGTACGTTACAATTTACAAAGCTATA